GTTTTAAGTAACATGCATTAATAAACAGTACTTTATGCATAAAAAATGGTTTTTAAGAGTTTTTGTCAAATGCTTTATAATATAGTATAGATATATAAAAGAGAAAACGCAAATACAAGGTTCGCAATAGCTTTAGAAGAAAATTTTGTACCTAAAATAAACGAAAATTTCCGCCATTTCTTTTAAATTCGAAGGCAGTTTTGTCTTTTTGTCATTTCCCTGCACTTGCAGTAGTTTTCCTTTTTTTTTTTTGTTTATTTAAATCTTCATACTTCTCGTTAACAACATCAAGAACAATAAAAAAGTATACAAACCCTAGATGAAATTAAAACCTAAACATAAATCGACGTCCATGTGTGAGTTGGAGATGCAGATTGGAGTCTGAATGAAAGCAGTTGTGATCATTGTTCGAAAAGGCTCGTTGCAACCACCGTCATGGCGTGCTGTGACTCAAGACTTGTGTCTCATGTCACATTAAGGCTGAGGCACGACATGGCCTGATTGTGGTTTTTGTAACACGATATCTAATTTTACATATCTTTTTAATTTCTTATTTGTATTTTTAATAGATAACTTTAATTTAAACTGTTTATCATCATTGATTCATTGAATAATAGTAGGAAAAACACATGTTTATGAATACAATATTACTAGAAAGGTACTCGTGCGATGCAACGAGATAAATCTCGATTTTAATGTTTAGTTTTTAAACTGTCTCTATCGATAATAATATTTTTATTTTTGAATGAATATAAATTTGAAAATATCATAAAAATTTTAAAAAAATAATTGATATTAGTATCAAATTAACTATTTAATAGTTCTCTTTTTTTGGTGTAACTTCTTTAATTCAAAATTTTATTATACTACTTAATTTAGATTTAATAACAAAGTAATTTAGTTTTGGTCTAAATAATATAATTTTTTATAAAGATAATAATTAAACATTATGTTATAACTCAATAATTATCTTAATTATATTTTAGGTTTTTAACATTTAAAATTGATGTTTATCTTTAGTTAGTTACACGAATTTAAAAATGAAGCTTTAATAAGTTGCACTTATGCAAAATTACTTGTAATCTTGAATTTTAAGTAATATGCATCAATAAACAGTACTTCATGCATAAAAAATAGTTGTTAAGAGTTTTATCAAATGTTTTATAAAATAGTATAGATATATGATATAGAGATTTTACCGCCATAAGTCATGCCTTGAAAAACGGTGTGATCACGCCACGCCTCACGCTATTTGGAACCTTGGTTGTGATACAGATACACTACGATGCAGGTGGATTCACAATGTGTGAGAAAAAGAGAGAGAGATAGATAAGAGGGCTCAAGTGAAGTCACAATGGATTAGAAAAAGAGATATAAGAGGGGTGTGCAAGATCTCATGCATTCATATTCGCCCGAAGTTCGCTCCCAGAAATATAGCCATCCCTGCCCCCAATAAAGACGTCGTTTTCAATTGATACATGCCAATGAGTCGCTGACTCATTTTTCAACATGCACGCGGTTAGAGCCAACTTCCTTGACCTTCTGGCACTGGATAGGCGTCAGCCCCCCCTCATTTATCGAGCATAATGATGCGAATCAGGCTTCCTGAAACCGACACAATTGGGTAGGTAGAGAATATCTAAAGGTTGTTTTTGCATTAATTGCTACTTCATCGATCTTATTGATTAACGTACCTGTGTAAAGATGTTCATCGACAAGCTTCAAACCCTAAAGAAACGATGCAAGCTAACAATGGCAAAGTGGATATGTTCATCAGAAATGAATAACTTCAGATGAAGATACATATGTAAGAGTTTCTTGAAGGTTTGGTCCATATCATGTAGATAACAGTGTCAAAAAGCACAAAACCCATATCAGGGTTGTCTTTTCCTTGTGGGGTTTTTTCTTCTTTTTGTTTGGATTGAAATTTTCGGTTTACAATCGAAGCCTTTTATGTGCATAAATATGCTGTAAATTGTTTCTAATGGAAAAAATGAATATTTAAGAAAAAAAGAATTAAAAAATATTATAATAGAGAAAAATAGTAAAATGACCATTTTCTCATTTCCTCTCGTAGTTAACGAAGATGTTGGACATACTCTAGCACGAAGGACCAATTCCAAAACAAAGTCCAAACCACAAGGGTTTTTATACAACAAATAAAGTCCACGGACCAATTATGAAACAACTGCTAAACTACATGGATCAAATCCGTAAATTTACTCATAATTTAATTTTCCTTTCGTCTTCTACAAATATTCAAATATTTACACCCGTTCACCCTAATTTCTTCTTTTCTAGTCTTCGTACCCTCAGATCAAAGAGACCCACAACAGCAATCCCTTCGATCTTTCAGTCTGTGTTTGTGCGATCGATCGAGAGAAAAAGATGGTGACTTCATCAGTCGTAAACACATACCCTCTTTCAAGCTACTCGTTCGGCACGAAAGAACCTAAAATGGAGAAAGACACTTCTGTTGCTGATCGTCTTGCTCGTATGAAACTCAAGTATGTATCCCCTATGTGATTTTTGTATTAGTTTTGGTTAATTGAAGCTGTGTGTAAAGTAATCCTTGAAATAATTTTTGAGTATTTGATAATATAGGGTTTTACGATATCGTGTTTTAGGGTTTTGTTTTCCTTCATGGAACGCTTGTGGGTTATACTTTGTTCATATGTAAGATTGAAATTTGAAATGTGTGTGCTAATGTTGCCAATTGATCATGGTACTTTTAAGCAAGCTAAGGGATTATATTTTGGGACTTGTGGTTGTTGATATTGAGTTCACTTGGGGTAAATCTGGCAACCACAAACTAGTTTATTTGTTGAGCTTATTGAAAAAGCATCCTCAATTCCGCAACTTCCATCTTTCCCTCATGGGCCTTCATTGTTGCCCCACTTTGACCCATACTATATAGTTGGTTGAACGGCTACCCTGCAAAATTTGCCTTCAGTTTTGGTGGAACCTTCTTATCACACAACACCCTTGTAGCAGCTCCCCATTTTGGTCATGTTGTCTTTATGCAACGTGTTATGTCAACATCAACCTCACCCCCTTTTTGAATCATGGAGCTTAGATACTTAAAATGTATTTTTTGGGGTATCATTTGCCTTCCCAGTCTTGATTTCCATCCAATCCCTTGTCTCTACACTCCCTACTAAATTGCACCATAAGTATTTGGTCTTTAGACCGGTTAATGCACAACCCTCCACTGCTCCAATCTTGTTCACCTCCACCTTCGATTCCATAATGAGCACAATATCATCTGACATCTGTGAATAACATACACCATGGGTGTCCCTCTGGATACCTCGAGAAATCTCATCCATAATTACAACATATAGGAATGGTATTAGTGCCGATCCTTGGTGTAGATCTATCTCGACAGGGAAATACTCTGTGTTGCCCACATGTCCTAATGTAAAAAGAATCCTCGTACATATCCCGACTCGCCCTGACATAACCCAATGGCACTCTTCTCTTTTCCAGTCTCCTACCGTTCGCATCTCCTGGTACACTATCATATGCCTTCTTCAAGTCTATGATCACCAACTGTAATTTCTTAACGTCCTCCCTCTACTTCTCCATGAGGTCTCTTAGGAGGTGTATTGCCTTGTCGTAGATTTCCCAGGGAGTGCATTGGTTCTTTGACACCTTTGTTTAGCACCGTACCTTCACGTCAATCACCTGTTCCCATAATTTTATGGTATGGCTAAGTAACTCTAAGCCATGATAATTACCACAACTTTGGACGTTGCCTTTCTTCTTATAGGGTGGTGCTAGGATGGCACCACCATGCTAAGCCTCCATTCATGAGGCATCTTGGTAATCCTGAGTGTGATGTTGAAGAGCTTTGTCAACCACTGCACACCTGCCTCAGCCAGACATATCCATACCTCAGTTGGGATTTGGTCTGGGCCTATTGCCTTATACTTCCCCATCTTCCACAATGCCTCTTCACTTTTCCCCTATGCTACTTTGCCGACAAGAACAAAGGTTGCTAGACTTGCAAGCCAAACATGACTAGATTATAAGTCAACAGCTAGCTTTTCAGCCGACATAACTTATCAACTAGTTTGCCAAACGTAGTTTTAACTTCCTGGAAGAAACTGATGAACATGCCAAAATTAATAACAAATTACTGAAAGTGAAAGTTCCTGTGTTAACAAAAGGGGGAATACTCTTCTGGAGTGACTCTTTCTCACATATCAAGTCTATGATCACCAACTGTAAGTTCTTATAGAAGTCGGTATGCATGCAATATTATTTTCCATGAGGCTTGAAGTGATTTTGTTAGAAATGACGTTTCTTTGATAATTAAATGGCGAGCATTGGGTATAGTCCAATGAGCAAGATGTCAAATATTCGGGTCACGATATCTATTTTTCAAAATTTTCATTCCATTCCAAAAATAGTGAAAACTTGTAGAAGGAATCATGCTGTTACATGGTTCATTATGATGACTGAGCGAATCCGTTACATTTCATTTTTTTCTTGTTGGTGGAGCCTCAATTAAGCTTTCCATCCACATGTATCAGGTGAGAATTGTTATTGCCACTAACAACATTCCACTGGGGAACTTGATCATGACAACAATAAACATTAAAGAGAAATTAGTAAATACAACAAACCCTTTTTAGTCCAAAATAGTTGGTTTCTGTAAACATGAAACTTATTAAACATTGATAACTAGGAAACTAATGTACTCCTGTGCTATCTCTTTCTTATTCTACCTGTTGCGCAAAATATTGATGAAAAACAATTTCATTCTGCAGCTATATGAAGGAAGGTATGAGGACCAGTGTTGAAGCAATCTTACTGGTTAGTATAAAAAATCTTTTCTTGAGTTACCAATTCTCATGCTGAATTGCTTAATGCCCGTAGGTTTTACAATCTTAAGATTCATTTTCAGTGTGGATGATTTTTAATGCTCATTTAGTTTGTTAAACCATGCTGAATAGAATATGCAGGCTTTCCTTTTCTAAGTTAATATAATTTTCTTATCTTTTCGTCTTCCTTTTGGTTGTAATATGAGTCGGAAGTCAAAAGATTTTAAGTTAGATTGTGCTTTTTGATGCAAGCCGACCCATTCTTGGAACAATGAGTTGCCCGTTTCTCCAATTAGCACGGGATAAGGGTTTGATAAGTCAAATGAATATGAGTTTTCTTAGTGATTAACTTTCGAGTTATCAAATACATCGCCTTTTTGTCGCAAACAATCCATCTGTCTTGTGAAAATGCAAAAAAGAAAAAAAGAACACCACACTTCATAAGAATGGATCATTTTTTACCATAATTGCTGGTACGGTAGTGATATTTCCAGTTACAATCATACTGTTTATACAAAATTAATACAAAGGGTTGTTATTTTTTTTTTGTATTATTGCAACAATGATGTTTTGTTTGGTAAATTGTCAAGTAAGATGGCTATATAGGTTAATAATTTGTTTCTATTTGGTTTAAAGATTGTTTTTTCTTCTATTAAACTCCATGCCATGCTGTTTTGTTGGACCCTAATATCATTTTTGGAACTCAATCTGATGGTATTGATGCATGGTGGCTTTATAGCCATCATTTATCACTAATGTTTGCTTTCCAAGATTAAGATGTATAGCTTTGATTGAATATTGGTATCTTAATGGTTCAGTACACTAAGCTAATGAATTTGCACACGTGAAATCATCAACAGTTTTGTGGTTTTTTGATATATTTAGGGGCCGTTTGGTCGGTTTTCCATTGAGTTATGGATGAATAAAGCTGTCTGTGTGGATTAATCTGTCTGTATAGCTTGGGAAGGTTTTTGTTTGGGAGAGGGTTTTTTTATAGATGGAAGGAGTGTGTTTTTTAATTGGGAGGGGAGGGTTTGGAAAAAAAAACTTGTCGTTCTGCATAAAGCTCTCTCCTAAAAGCTTACTGAATAAGCCACTTTCTATATCATTAAGCCACTACCAAACGGTCATGTATAGCTGGCTGAATAAGCTGTGAGTCACATTAAGCTCATTAAGCTGCTAACGAACGGGCCTTTACTCTTGTTCTAAGATGTTGTATGAACTTACAGGTGCAAGAGCATAATCATCCCCACATTCTACTTCTGCAAATCGGCAACACGTTCTGTAAACTTCCTGGTGGTCGACTGAAGCCGGGAGAAAACGGTATTAGATTTCACCTAACTATCAATGATCACTATACGCCATTCCCTCCATCTGACACTCCTTTTTGTCTTGCAGAAATTGAAGGCTTAAAAAGGAAACTGTCAAGCAAACTTGCTGCTAATTCACCTAATATGCAACCTAATTGGCAGGTTTGTTCATTTACTTTTTATCATTTCTGCTAGGTTAAAATTGAAATGCATGTGAGCGATGAAGAAATTGTTGTCTAATATTTGCTCTAACTGAAGTATGATGGAAGTTTTAGTACTGGTATACCATGGCACTTACAAGTGCAGGGTCAAAAGATAATGTAATTATTACACTTTTTAATTAAGTAAATGATAATTGTACTCTTAATAATAGGAGTAATGAATTCTTCCATCTCATAATTAAGGGTAGGATTGGAAAGTAGACACTTATTTTTGAAAGTGGATACTTATCTTGGGACAGACAAACAGAAATGTAGACCCAAATGAATAGCATCAGTTTGTCATAAATTGATGTTATCACAAATAGCTGCAATATTGTTGTTCATTCGAGTATTTTTAACATTGACTTATGCTTTTGCAGATTGGTGAGTGTGTGGCTGTATGGTGGAGGCCAAACTTCGAAACTATTATGTACCCATATTGCCCTCCACACATCTCAAAACCTAAGGTTAAGGATCGTTTTGGGTCTTCATATCCCTAGTCATTTCAGTTTCTTGCTTTCTTGATTCTGATCTAGTTATACTTCATACACCTCTTTTTATGGGGTTCATGTATAAATGTTTTAAGAATCAGACTCACTTCAGTAATTTTTGCAATTTAGGAATGCAAGAAGCTTTATGTTGTACACTTGTCAGAAAGAGAGTACTTTGCAGTGCCTAAAAATCTGAAACTTCTTGCTGTTCCACTGTTTGAACTCTACGATAATGTTCAGGTACGTCATGTTCCCATTTCCTTTTTCTTTATGTATGCTTCACGCCTTTTTGGTGATATTTTGATGCATGGACCAGAACACAAAGTACTCCCTCCGACCCAAAATAGATGTCCTCGATAAAGAAGGCACAAAGTTTTAGAAATGTGTAATTATTACACTAATTAATCAACTAAGTCGCAACTTTACCCTTAATAACAGAGGAAGTAATGAATTTCTCGTCTCATAATTAAGGGAGGACATTTTTCTGAGACAAACTAAAATAGAAATGTGGACACTTGTATTGAGACGGAGGGTTTACTTTGAAATTTTACTCCTTCGTTCCCATGAAAATTGCAACAATTTTCATTTTGGATTGTCAAAGAGAAATGCAACTTTTTTTTCCCGAAAGATTCCAAGTTAAAGTTATAATCTTAAAGGGTTCATATTGAATTTGAGTTTTGATTTGGCAAGTAAAATTTGATCAATTTATATACTCCATTATTGCCTTTCAATGACCGATCCATTGATAGTTTATTGTCTTTTAACGAATCCGAACTAAAGAAACGTTGTGGACCCAAATTAATACCATCGATATGTTTGTGATGATAATAGGCGAATGTGTACTTTACCTTGAAACTTCTATAAAAGGGAATTTTTATAATTTTGGCTAGAATAATGCAAAAAAGAACCGACATTTAGGTTGCCTCATGACCTAAATTATGGTAGAGCATTCTAGAATCCTCTTCACCCTTCTAGAGTTTCTTGTACTCTAGATTGTTCGTTGTAAATATCTAGATAGAGTATTTCATAAGTGTAATATGGACCATTGATGTAATTTGATCCTGGCCATTCATTTGAGAGTTGGAGGCCTATTTTAAGGGGGAGAGGCATGATGCAAAGCAAAAGTGGAGTTAGGGGCCGTTTACCAGACGCTTATCGGGTAAGTGCTTACCGGATGTCACTTTCTTTGTCATGTGAATACGACAAAGCCGAGAATCTTAACCGGTAAGAGGCGACATAGGAACGAGGTAGGGGTGTAGAGACAGCCAGGAGGTTTGCCTAGAAGCAGCCACCCTTGAAAGAGTGTGTAATAGCCAGCTGATCTAGCGCTCTCCTCTGTTTCTTTGTTTTCTTCTTGTTCTTGCAAAATAATTCAGTAGAGGTTTTTCAAACAAACAAACGTATCTGTACCACATCCCGAGTTCCTTAGAGAGAGTTGTCTCGCACCCCTTTGAAAGAAGGGGCGCTTCTGGTTCTGTCGGTGTTTGAAACAATTGTCTTCCCCATTCATAGGTCTGAGATCTACATATATGAATGGACCAAGAGTCTTAACCAGTAAGTGAATGAGAAGAATCCTACCTGGTAAGCGAATACTGGGTAAAAGGTGCCTACCAACAATCAATTTTGATAGCCAAAAAATGTTACCGATAAGGTAACGGGGTGACTCTTGCCTGTAAGCATTTGATAAATGGCTCCTTTGTGTGGTGGTGCCATTATAAGAATAAAAGGAGTAACAGATTTCTGCATCTCATGATTAACAGTAGATTTGGAAGGTTAACCACTTACTTTTGAAAATGGACATTTATTTTGGGACCTATGTTGTTACTTGCGGCGATACCTCGGATATTGGACATTAGCAAAATAACGGTGGTCAGATTGCGGTTTAAATTGCGGTAGCGCAATTATCGGCGCAATTTATTGCAATTTTGACCGATATTTAGGGTCAACTGCATTTGATATTAACGTTACTTTTTTTGGGGGAGGGGGAGGGGGAGGGAAGGGGAAGAGTGGGAAGCTAGCCTAAACAAAGAAGTGAACATATTAGATGATGTTGACTCAGATGCTGAATCTATTGCTTGCGATCAGCTCGTTTATGAACACTTTTCCTATTTTGCAAATGATATGTGTTATGTAAGCATATTATATATATAATTATATATAATTCTAAGAAATATTATATGAACCGTTATACCACCGCTATTTCAAATATCTGTCCCGACCGCAATTTTGTATTTTCACCGCTATAACAGTATAGTTTAGGACAAATTAAAATAGAAATATGAATGTTTATTTTGGGATTCTCCTTACCATATTAACATCATTTATGTGCAGAGATATGGACCAGTGATTTCAACTATTCCGCAGCAGCTTTCGAGATTTCAGTTCAACATGATTCCCGCATAAATATGCATCCGATTCATGCCATTTTACTTCGAGAAAACTTAAATTAGTAACGAGCGTTCTTCAAAAGTTATCGCATTTATAGAACCCCATCCAGAGATTAAGTCGAGTTCATTGATAGTTTGTTGTAGTTTGTATCTTACCGCAGAGTTAGCCCGCAACATTAAAGCCTTTTCCTGAAGCAGAAAACGGTTGAGTGAAGCGATTATGCTTCAGTAACTTGTACATTGTGCAGTGAAAGTTGTACTTTGCTTCGGGTTCTACCGTTTTTGTTTCGGGAAAAGGCTTCAGTGTTTTGTGTTTGTTTGTAGTTCCCTCTGTTTTGGTAGAGAGATAGTTGAGACCATTGCTTTATTTATGAGGGATAGAGATTATCATCTATTATGACTTGTACCTTATGCATTGAAGTTGTACATTGCTTGATTTTCTGTATTTCATGTTTATGCAAAAATATCATTTCGGAACCAACTGTGCTACCCGCTAGAGGCTCAATTCACCATTTCATGTTCGTAATTTTCTCTATTTTGGTGGATTTTTTTTTGAAGGGTGTCCGGGCCAAAGCCCGACTAATCCCCGGCAAATTTGGAGGCTAAACATGACCCTACTTAAATGTAGCCAACACTCCCCTTCCAGGCCTCGAACTCGGGTTCATGACTATGTCATGCCCAAGCTTTACCACTAGGCTGGAAGGTCTTTGACTATTTTGGTGGAATTTATGCTACGTATTGGATAAATTGGTAATTAGTGTAACCGGTCGAGGGGGCTAGGCCTGTTAACAGGCCTAGTTGTGGTTATCTGAGACCAGTTTCATTGGCTCAGTTAGGCATCCATAACCCCTATGCTGTTTAGTTGTTAATATTTTAGAGGAAGGTTCAAAACCAGAACAATAACCAAATAAAAAAAATACGAAAATGGTTAAATCACATGTGATTTTATACTAACGATCAACACAAGGGTGTGTGGATGACGTGACCGATCAAAGGTGCATGAATTACGCATGATTTTACGGCTGATGTTAATGCGATTCGATCGTTTTCTTATTCAATTAAAAGCTTGGATTGAATTGGACCCTTGGAGGTAGGGTTTATTTAGATATTGAATTTTAGTTCGTTTGGGGTGCAAGGTTTGATTCGGTTGATTTGAGTCGAACAAGCATCGACTAACTATGTACAAATAGCTGTGTAGTTGTATTTATACAGAGGATGTAAACATTATTTGAAATGATTGAACGATGTATTTTTACATCTTATAGTTTTGATAGATCGCTTCGTTCCGTTGGTCATAATCCATCCCAACTATCTCTGTTTGTGGATTGTTACTTTCAGTGCAATTCAATTATCTGTTTTTAATTTCTTGAAATTATTATATTAATCATTTTACATCTAATCACCCATAAAACAATCAAAACGAGTCAAATGGGTTTGGGTAAAACGACTGCTTTTTAGAACAACTGGATCAAATATTTCTTGACACCTTTTGTAGTGGCAGATCCAGATTTTTTTTTAGCGGATGCACCTTTAAGATGGATTAAAGACTTAAAGTCCCAGAAAGCTGTGGTTTGGTCAGAGGGAAAAGTCCATGCGGTTTGACCTAAGGGAAAGTCAATTATGTAGATTTCTAAGTACATTTTTTCAAATTGAATCGACCTTGACCTTTTGAACAAAACACAAGATTACATCTTACGTCTCATGTGTTTTTAGCTGAAGTTCACCGTTATGGGAAATTGTTTCGTTCTTTTGACTGATTTCATAAAATATTCCAATTTTTATTATTTAATATTGATCGTCTTCCATTTTTTTTTTTTGGGTTTTCAATTTCGTTTCTTTGTGTTTAAAGAGGATGTTTTGATTTACATTTATTTCTTGTATTAAATATAAAAAGAAAAAGGACAAATTACATGAAAATTTAATGTATCAAAATGAAAGTTTTGAAAATACGTTATCCAAAATAAAGATCATGTTAAATTACGTTACTTTTTTATACAACTTATCCAAAGAAAAATATAGCATTGAAATAATAACCTGACTTTTTTTTAGTAAAATGATTTAGAAAGTTATATTTAATGGAATATATTTTGACTAACAAATTGCTTTAATCAATTTCTAGAAAAAAAATCTGAATCAGTTAAATTCTGGTCAACATGGTTCGAAAAAAGCTCAGATCAGTTTATACCTTACAAGATGAAAACCAAACCCGTACCAGTATTCAAACTTGATTCAGCATGAAAAAAATTAACCTACATGCTCCACCGTTTGTGCAGGCCCCCGTCAATTCCTTTGGAACTGAATCATTTTCTTGTATCTGAGAATACTTTTCGTTTGTTGATGAGGCGACACCCGGATCCTTTGGTGTCCCTCAGTCAAGAATTGAGGCCTCGCAATCAATATTTTATCGAACTTCTACATATCTGATCTAACTTAAAAAAGATTATGATTCAAATATGAACCCATGGTGCAATCCGATAACATTACTGACTGTTTTTTCCGACCCCGTTCGTTTGATTCAGATTTCGATCATTGAACCGGGCCGGGTCGGATCCAAATTGGTGTCAATGACCCAAAACCCAAACCCGAATGCATGAATTTAGACGAATGAGCTTCCAAAAAACGCAGAAACTTGGAAATATTTTACCATGATTTTGGGGGAAATTTTCGTGAGTGAGCCCTAAATTGAAAAAATTGGATCGCCATTTTTGTTCCCCAAATACAAACCTGTCTCGTCCATTTCTTTCTCACTTGACTTCAGGTCAAAAACACGAACAACTATCAAATTGATAGTTCTTCAGATCGTTCTTTATTCGTTTTTCGATCACCAGTCATTTTCAATCTGCATCGCAACATATTGGCGTAGATATTTCGTTTCGAATTATTAGCGAAACAAATGCGCGATTTCCGTCGTTACTTGTGATTCATCATCGGTTTTTCAATTCTTGTTTTGTAGGTTTCTTTTTTTTTTTTCTGTTGAGAATTTGGGGTTTCGGGTCGGCGGGAATTGACTGATTGGTTTAAATTTAGGGTTCTTCGGTATTATATTTGATTGAATCTTTGAGATGAATAACAACGCACGCGGAGGAGGAAGGTATCCGCCGGGAATTGGGCGTGGAGGTGGTGGTGGGAATTATCATGGAAATGCCAACCCTAGTTTTCAGCAACAGAGAAATTACCAACAACAGAATGCACAGAGGAACCCGATGCACCAACAACAGTTTCAACAGCAACAACAGTGGTTGAGAAGAAATACATTGGGAAACCATCCAAGTACCACGGTCGAAGTCGAGAAGAATATGCAGTCAGAAGCCAACGATTCTAGGTAGAATTCATTGTTTTTTTATTTATTGTGTTATATTTCTAATTAAGCTTCTTAGTTATTGTGTTAAGTGGAACCATAAGTATGAATGTGGTGTCATTGATAGGTTTGTGTCATTATTTGATAGCTTTATATATTTTGATATCAATACATGGTTCTTCATTCTTTTTATAATTTTATATGAATTTAAATTGTTAAACATTATTGTTCAACACACACATATTATATACGGATTTGATGCCTTAACCAAGTCTTGAAAAACATTATGCCTTGCTATAACTCGTAAGGCTTGACCTTGCTTCCATGCAACGTTCCACGTCACTTAGAACCTGAGGTTTTAAAAATGATCTTTTGATGAGAATATTGAATGAAACCCCTTATAATCGTTTACGAAAATATTGAATTAAATCTTCTGATATTTGTCAATTGTCTGTGAACTTTTGGATACCAAGGAGAGACGAGGGTGATCTGACAATAAGTTTGAAAGTGTATGGCGGCATTAGAAACACAATGTTGCCCAATAATCGCTTTAAGACCGAATACCTATGGTTTAATTTGAGCAGAGAGCATATTGACGAGGGGGGTGGTAGTCACCAATGGAGAACAAATGGTGACAGCTGCGACTATCTAGGCTCCATGTTTCAGAAGGAGGGAGAGGTCAAGGATGGTGTTACACATAGCACAAAATGGAGGTTGGTTAAAGTGGAGCTGCCTTGAAGCATGATGGGGCAAATGTTCTGCTAAATATTTTGGCAACTTCTACAGGTTAGCCGTCAGACCGACTATGTTTTATAGGCGATAAATAAATGCATGAGAGGAAGTTGGAAGTGGCAAACATGAGGATGTTGAGATAGACCTATGGTTGGACGGACCATGTTGGACAAGATACAAAACAAAGTTTTTTTGGCAAAGCTGGGAGTTGCACCTTTCAAGGATAAATGGCGCAACAGAAGATTGTGGTGGTTTGCGCACATTTGCAAATGACAAATGGCTGGGTCTATGAGAAGGGTCAAGAGCATCACGGTTGAGGGCGTGAGGAGGGGCAAGAATGAGGAGATCGTAAGAAGAGCAACCGAGGCTGGACATCGTGACCTTGGACATTTTTGAGTACATGATCTCTGAAGGTGTTAGTGGAGGTGTGGGACTAGGGTAGCATATTATGTGTAAGGACTTGTAAGATTCGACCTTTTGGCTTACTTACTCCTACAACGCTATGGTTCTTTTTTTCTACTATGTCCACTTTCTCGTTACTTGTTTTAACCTTTATCTCTTTTTGCTTGCTGTACTTGTTCTACTTTTCCGAAACTCTTCGTATGTTCCAGTGAATGCTTCGAGCACTTCAACTTTTCAAAATCTCTTTTTTGCAAAAACTTCTTTACAAGCCTTCATTGAAACATCTCTACCTCTTGAGATAGAGGCAAGGTATGCATACATGTTATCCTACTACCCTATTTTCAAGTAGGATATGCTACTTACGATTCTTTTGGTTTTATTACGGTACTATAAGTCTTATTTGATTTTTATGTTGGTTTTTGGGAATAAGTAGAAATTATCGAAGATGCGAGAATATGGAATGGGCTCATCGATACATCTTGAAATTGTGATTTTTTTAGAAATAGGCACAACAAAGATGTAATTAAAAGGGAAATAGTGTACACAAGGTGATACAACGAAAAGTACTGCGATTGATAAAGGCATAAAAGCAGCGAATAGAACAAAAAACATAAAAGAAAAACTTGCCAACATCCAACGCTACAACTGAACATCAACAAATCCGTCCCCAACCCGCCTAAAAAATAAATAGAGGAAAAAAAGTCAAAATCATGGAATTGACTGTATAAGTAGTCCAATCAATGGGCGTTGCTGGAAACATATGGTCTTTAGATTGTAAAGTACTCCATATCTTCTAATTCTTAGCATTTTTGTGTTTTGGTGATGACTCGATTATTGTCTTTATTTATGATGTATAAATATCAACCATATTGTATGTCCTAACTCCTAATTTGTTTGATGCTAAATTGCTTGCTTGCCTTTCATAGTTCCCGAGATTGGAAAGCACAGTTAAGACTCCCACCAGCCGACACTCGATACAGGACAGAGGTATGCATTTATATGCCATTGCTTTGGCAGGGTTTATATATTTATGCATCACATGAACCGTATAATTTTTACCGTGGATCTTCTAGAGCTTGTGCTTCATGTGTTAAAATATTTTGTATGGAAAATTTTGCAATCAAAAGGTCTGAGCATCTTAAATGTGCCACTCTTTGTGTCTGAGACTCTACGCCAAGGTCTTACTGATGGCCTTATTATGCAAATTTATAGGATTCTATATACAAATCTTTTTTTCAGTTTTATATTCTTTTTCTTTCCAAACACCTTAGCATTTCTCGACGTAACTAATTTTTAGTTTTCTTTCTTTTCAGGATGTGACAGCCACCAAAGGAAATGAATTTGAAGATTACTTTCTTAAGCGTGATCTGCTTATGGGGATATATGAGAAGGGTTTTGAGAGGCCTTCTCCAGTTCAGGAGGAGAGTATTCCCATTGCTCTCACAGGAAGCGATATTCTTGCAAGAGCAAAAAATGGGACAGGGAAAACAGCTGCCTTTTGCATTCCCGCTTTAGAAAAGATTGATCAAGATAACAACGTTATTCAAGGTTCTAAACACATTCCGTGTTAATCAAGAAAACAAATGCCTTCGCTTTCCTTTTATATGGTTTAGATATTCGATCTTGAAGCACATTGCCACTTGACACATGGGTTCTTAATAAGGAATATGACTTGAAACTGCTTTTGCTGCATATCATGATAGTTCTTTCCTCATGAAGATATCAAGATGCCTTAAAACCTAGACCGAGTATAAATATTAAGGACTCAAAATTTTACCAACTTGGTGTTCTTTTACATTTGGATGGCTTATGAGTTCCGTAAGAATCAGGTGTAAGATGTTTGCATGCTCGATGTTTTATTGTGTGAATTTTAATGGACTTCTTTTAGCAATGTGAATTCAGTGGACTTGTTTAGGCACCATAATTTAGTTTTCACAAGGTACATCATTCCCATCTTGCTTCTCAAATTTTACATATCTGTATTTCTCCCTTTCACACACTTTTCACTAGCGGGGGTCTTTTTTCACGAAAACAAGCACACTTTTTTAGGGCAGAGGTCAGTCTGCATACATTTTACCCTAGATCCCATCATTAGGTGGGATATACTGGCATCATTTGGTTCGGTTAAGTACATCACCCATCCCATTCTTCTGTTTTAAATTCACATCACACCCTCTATTTTGGTGTCATGGTACCATTAGGGGATGTTTTGTTCTGGCAGGGGAATGAAAATGAAAATGACAGGAAATGGAACTGGGAATGAACCCCAATTTAGCATGGAATGAAAATTTGGCTTGTGGGGGAACAGGCTGATTATATATATGAAACCAAACACTTTCTATTATTTCCAATCCCATTAATTATTGCTTAATACCTCTAACCAAACACCCCCTTAGTGATTGGATTGGAGGATCATAACTGGTTCCTGAGGCATTTTACACCTAGGATGTTTTCATCTATAACTCACTTGTCAATCTTTGATCATAAAAATTGGTTTGTTGCACCAGTGTAGACTCTGTGCATCATGTGTCCTCTATTTCTTTTGATGTTCTTTAAGCAGATTTTGTTATCAGCTATTATCTGCTCTTCTTGGGCATTTCTTAATCAGTAGGTCTCTAAGGTTTATCTGTTTTGCAGTCGTTATACTTGTTCCAACTCGAGAGTTGGCTCTTCAGACCTCACAAGTTTGCAAAGAACTTGGAAAACACTTAAACATCCAAGTTATGGTTACCACCGGTGGAACGAGCTTAAAAGATGACATAATGAGATTATATCAACCGGTTCATTTACTTGTCGGTACTCCTGGAAGAATATTAGACCTTGCAAGAAAGGGAATTTGCATATTGAAAGATTGTGCAATGCTTGTCATGGATGAGGTACAAGCCGATGTCTTTTATACTCCCTCTATCCCAAAAATAAGTGTCCACTTTCAAAAACACGTGTCTATTTTCCAATTCTACCCTTAGGGTGTGTTTGGTATCTGACAGAAGCTGTTTAGCTTTTGGTAAGACAGAGCTGGACAGGACAAAACAGATAAAATGACCAATTTATCCCTAATGAGTTGTTTATATATTTTGATTATTTTATGTAATTTATTAAATTACAATAAAATAAATATTTTTTATTACAAAATATATCATCATAAAGGTTTTGTCAAGACGATTAAAATGACACCAAAATAAAAAGTTTATGTAATTTCCAATTTTTATTTTACACCTTTTCTATATTTTTGTATCATTAATATTTAATAAATTACATAAATTAATCTAAATATAGAAATCGTATAAGATTAATATTTTGAGAACAGTAAAGTGAAAGTTTAAGGAGCATAAAATACAATAAATAGAATTTAAAGAATGAATAAAATGTAAAGAGGGAGGCGTTTGATGTTTTAAAAGAGCATTAGGTTTTTTTTGAGGTTATATTGGTAAATTATAGGTTTGTTCCACCTTGTTTCATGGGGTGAGGGTTGAACACGCTTGTTTCACTCTCTTCCACATAAAAGTCCAGCCAAACATGGAACATTGATCCCTGTTTTGTTCTGTTCAGTGTACCAAACGCACCCGTAGTTATGAGATGATGAAGTTCATTGCTCCATCTATTATCAAGGGTAAAATTGTCATTTAGTTAATTAAAAAGTGTAATAATTACACATTTTTAAAACTGTGCGCCTTTTTCTTTGTGAACATGTATTTTGGGACCGGGGGAGTAGTTAACTAGTTTTCTTTCATCTCTGATCTCTACATACAATTTATTTTGATGGCATTTTTATTCATTTCAGGCGGATAAGCTTTTGTCACCTGAGTTCCAGCCTTCGGTGGAGCAGCTGATTCACTTTATGCCAGCAAACCGTCAAATTTTGATGTTTTCAGCGACGTTTCCTGTGACTGTTAAGGATTTTAAAGAGAGATACCTTCATAAGCCGTATATTATTAACCTCATGGATGAGCTCACACTCAAGGGAATAACACAGTTTTATGCTTTTGTTGAAGAAAGACAGAAAGTTCACTGCCTCAACACACTTTTCTCAAAGGTTTTAACCTCCCCAAATAAATTCCATTCTATAGTTTCTACTCCCTCTGTTCCAAAATAAATGTCCACGATGAAAGTTAACTAAATGACAATTTTACCCTTAATACTAGAGGGAGTAATGAATTTCTCCATCTCCTAATTAAGGGCAGAGTTGGAAAATAGGCACTTAGGCAAACATTTTTAGAAATGTGTAATTATTACTCTTTTAATTAACTAAATGACAATTTGACACTTAATAGTAGAGAGAGTAATGAATATCTCCATTCTTGATTGAGGGTAGAATTGGAAAATAGGCACTTAGACACACAATTATAGAAATGTGTAACTCTTACTCTTTTAATTAACTAAATGACAATTTTCTTCTTCAGAGTAGAGGGAGTAATGAATTTCTCCATCACCTAATTAAGGGTAGAATTGGAAAATAGGCACTTAGACACAATGTGTAACTATTACCCTTTTAATGAACTAAATGACAATTTTACCCTTGATAGTAGAGTGGAGTAATGAATCTCTCCATCTCATAGCTAAGATATAGTTGGAAATTAGGCACGCACTTTCAAAAATGAACACTTATTTGAGATAAACAAATAGCTATATGGACATTTATTTCGGGAATAGAGGGCGTATATTACAATTGGAAGTATGACCCATTTGTTTACAGCTTCAAATCAACCAATCAATAATTTTCTGCAATTCTGTGAATCGGGTTGAGCTTCTGGCCAAGAAAATTACGGAGCTTGGTTACTCGTGTTTCTACATTCATGCAAAAATGCTCCAAGATCATCGTAATAGAGTATTTCATGATTTTCGTAACGGTGCCTGCAGGAATCTTGTTTGTACTGGTATCACTACTCAATTTCATTAATCATTTCTATTTCTTGCTTTGCAGTTCCGTTTTTACGTTAACGTTCTTTTTTTATGAACACAATGAATTGCAGATTTATTTACAAGGGGTATCGATATCCAAGCAGTAAATGTGGTTATCAATTTCGACTTCCCAAAGAATTCAGAAACATATTTGCACAGAGTACGGTTGGATGAAATCTAGTCTTCGGCATTTTAGTGCATATCTCGTTTACATTTTCAGTATTCATATAATTTTTTATTTAGGTTGGTCGATCTGGGCGGTTTGGACACCTTGGATTGGCTGTAAATCTGATCACATATGAAGATCGCTTCAATTTGTATGCCTACTGCTTTTTTACGCTTGCCCGTGTTCATTGCTTCAAATGGGATTTTTGTCATTGGCTTACGTGCTTCTAATTCTCTCAGGTATAGGATCGAACAAGAGCTTGGAACTGAGATTAAGCAAATTCCTCCATTCATTGATCAGGCTATTTATTGTCGGTAACTGAACTACTGGAGTCTGAGAACTTTGGCGTATGCTGAATGGGCGGCAACTATGTGGTGAGTTTTAACTGACATCTGTTTGCTTTTAAAATGTCGAAGCTCTTTTTAGGTTATCGACCATTTTTGCTAAACCATTGTCGTAATTCAGTAAAACCGGACCTTTTGGAACAATACTCGAGATTTTCACTTTTCACAATTTGGAGGTCTTTACGAAAACAATTGCTCTACTTTTTGGGAGGGAGGTCAGCATACATCTTACCTCCGAGACCCTCCTTATTACCTACACAAATTGGGTAAAAGCTAACCAGGTAACAGTGTGGTCTGGGTAAGATGTTCAGGGCCATAAACCAACAACTTACCGGCAAGAGTCACCACATTCACTTACCTTGTTGGTTAACATTCTCGTCCATTAAAATGAATTGCTGGTAAGCGTCTTCTACCTGGGAAGTGCTTACCGGGTAAGAGTCTTCTTCCTCACCGGGTAAGATTCTCAGACCTTGTCATGCCTTTTACCGGTTAAGATTCTCGGGCCTTGTCATGCTCATCCGGTAAGGTAAACGACACCTGGTAAGTGTGCCTATCCGGTAAGAGTTTGGTTAATGGCTCCTCTTTCCGGATAAGTGTCGATTGAAAATGGGTGTTCATTTAGTATTTTGTAGTAAATGCTTACCGAATAAACCAATTTGGGTAAGTACTGTTTGACTCAGTCAATGACATATTGGTGGCCGACTCGGTCAGTTAGAAGGTAAACAACATTATCTCTTACCGGGTAAGGGTAAAGACAAGAGGCTCTTATCCAGTAAGGGTGCTTTTGGTATGCAGACGAGACTGGATGAGCGAAAGAAATGTGGAAATAAATAGTTTAGAATCTCGTCCTACTTTTTTGTTCCACCTATTTTGGTGGGATAAAAATGTATTTTTGTCTCACTCCGGTCTTGTCCCATACCAGTCTAATGTTGAGTCAAACACGGAACATCATGTTTTTTAGAGTAAATTACGATTTTTGTTCCTATGCTTTGTTAATAATTTCTATTTTCATCCCGGTGATTTAGAAATTGCGGTTTTAGTTCCTATAGTTTGCAAATTATTGTTATTTTCATTCTCGGACTAATTTCTACCTTTAAATAAAAGGGACCAAAACAGTAAGTAATTATAAATCATAGGGATTGAAAAAACAATAAATTGTAAATTATAAGGATGAATATAGCAATGAATTACAAACCATAGGGACGAAAACCGTAATTTTTAAACATAGAGACTAAAAGTGTAATTTACTCATGTTTTTATTTTGTCTTGTCCTGCATACCAAATGTATCCTAACTGAATGATCAAAAATACAAATTGCATTACGGTCTTGAGTAAACCTTTATCTTTTGCAGAACGGAGGGGTTGGCGAAATATTATTCCGAAACATTCGTTCTTGACTTCGGAGTACAACGCTTACCTGATTGTTTTCAAACGGAAGAGGGTCGTTTCTTCACGAAATCCGTCGTATTTTAAGTACAATGCTTTATAGTTACTGATAACTTTGATTGTTTTCAAATAGAAGACTAAGTCATTTCCTTAAGAAAACTTGTCATCTTCGCTATGAATCTTCGAGTGGAAGTAAATTATCTTTCGAATCTTATTGACGCTTTTTTGTTCTTTTCGCTTTCGCCAACGTATTCGCCCAATTGGCTTTTGACCGGATTGATATGAATCGAGTTGTGTCACGTCTTTGATTAATACGCTATACTTTACATCAAACCGGTGTTTTATGGTGATCGTTTTTCAAAGAAAACGCCATATATTGCGTTATTTTGGTTTTATAAAATAGTTTTGTCTTATCTTAAAGGACAGTATAAAAGATTTGTTATAACAACATCGATAATAAAATCCATATATTCTTTTTCAAAATCCTCTTATATGTGAGTTGCACATAGGGTATAATTGTCATTTTGAGTTTTATGTAGGATTATAGACTTGAGATCATGTGAGACAAACATTTTTTGTGATACCCATGAGACCATTTTTTTACACTTAAAACTTCACAATAAAACACTATGAAGATAACCTTCACAATGAAACATTGTGAAGATAACCTTTACGGTGTTTTTTCTGTTGAAGGTTTAAATTTTTTTTACTATTATAATATTTTGCTATGAAGTTTCAAGTATAAAAATATAGTTTCATGAACATTACAAAAATAAGCTGGTTTCATATGAACCGAATCTTGGTTTATAATCGTCTTTTTGTTATACATGTGACTTGCACATAGGGTATAATTGTCTTTTTGTTATACGTCTTTTTGTTATAAATGTGAGATGCACATAGGATATAATCGTCTTTTTAGGTCTCACTCCGTTTCTTCTTCTCTCTCTCAGACTCCACCGTCCGCCCCTCCCGTCCTTCCCTCTCTCTCTCTCTCTCTCTCTCTCTCTCGACCACCGCCCCGTCCTCCCTCTCTCTCTCGATCTCTCCACCACCGCCCCTTCCTCCCTCTCACTCGATCGATCGATCTCTCCACCACCGCCCTCCTCTCTCGATCTCTCTCGACCACCGCTCCTTTCTCTCTCTCTCTCTCTCTCTTGATCTCGATCTCTCGACCACCGATCCTCTCTTTCTCTCTCGATCTCTCGCTCGGCCTTCCACCATTCCGACTCCGGCGGCTATCGCTCCGACGACTCTACAAAAATCGATAGCAACTTCGACGGCAGCATCGACGGAGACTATCGATAACTTAGGTTTTTAGTTTGAAAATGTTCGATTCTGAGTTCCCATTTCTGTTGTCGATTTTCCATCATCAACAACCCTAAGTTTCTGTTCTTTGATTCCATTCCTCATTCTTAACTGCTTGATTTCTTCTGTTATTCACAAACTCATTCCATTGTAACATCACCACTTATATTTGTCCGTAATCCGTTGGTTGGGTTCCGGTGAGAATAAAAGTTACGGTGAGACCGGTAAGAAGAGATCTTCTTTATTGGATCAATCATAATTGAATCTCGACACAAATGAAATGCACCGGATCAATTCTTGTATCAAGCGCATTTCATGTGCACCTTAACTTTTTATTCTCACACAATCTTAGTCATCTGCAATGACTCTTAACCATAAAACGGATACTATAATCATGGTGTTCATCTAAACCGTCAAACCCTTAGGGGTGTTTGGGATAGCTTATAAAAAACAATTTATTAACTTATTTTGGTGTGACACTGAAAATAAACATTTTTGAGAGTTTGGATAAACAATTTATATCGGTGTCAAACCGGTAATAAGGAGTTTTTGAAGAAGTTAAAGTCTTTTAACTTATAATAAGTTGATAAATGCTTTTATAGAAAAACATAAGTTGTTTCAGATAAACAATTCCAAATGCCCCCTAAATCGAATAACATCGAATCGTGCTTTTTAGAACATTTGAGGTGCGGTATGCGCTTTGCATTTTTCATCAAACTCATGGTGTTTTTTAAAATACTGTAAAGGTAATCTTCACAGTGTTTTTTCTGTTAAAGGTTTAGATTTTTTTCTAGCTTCACAATATTTTGATGTAAAATTTCAAATGTAAAAAATTTGGTTTCTATCATGGGCAATTGGGCATCACAAAAACAAACTGGTCAGAAACCCAATCTTGAGGTTAATAATCGTCTTTTTGTTATATATGTGAGATGCACATAGGGATATAATCGTCTTTTTAGGTCTCCCTTCGTTTCTTCTCTCTCTCGGACTCTCCACCGTCCGCCCCTCCCTTCCTTCTCTCTCTCTCGATCTCTCCACCACGACCCTCCTCTCTCGACCACCGCCCCTTCCTCCCTCTCTCTCTCTCTCGATCGATCGATCTCTCCACCACCGCCCTCTTCTCTCGATCTCTCTCGTCCACCGCCCCTTCCTCCCTCTCTCTCTCTCGATCGATCTCTCCACCACCGCCCTCCTCTCTCGATCGCTCAAGACCACCGCCCCTTCCTTCCTCTCTCTCTGCTCGATCTCTCAACCACCGACCCTCTCTTTCTCTCTCGATCTCGCTCGGCCTTCCACCATTCCGACTCCGGCGGCCATCGCTCCGAGGACTCTACAAAAATCGATAGAAACTTCGACGGCAACATCGACGGAGACTATCGATAACTTAGGTTTTTAGTTTGAAAATGTTCGATTCTGAGTTCCGATTTTCCATCATCAACAACCCTAAGTTTCTGTTCTCTCATTCTTCACTCCTTGATTTCTTATGTTATTCACAAACTCATTCCATTGTAACATCACCACTTATATTTGTCCCTAATCCGTTAAAATGGTTGGGTTCCGGTGAGAATGAAAACTATGGTGAAAAAGATAGGAAGAGATCTTCGTCCTTGGATCAATCATAATTGAATCTCGACACTAATGATATGCACCGGATCAATTCCCGTATCAACCGCATTTCATGGGATGGTGATGAGATTAAAAGTGATGAAGGGTCTAGATTACTTCTTACTTTTCCATGTTTAATTTTTATTATGACACGATCATTAATCATCTGTCAAAACTCTTAACCATAAAACTGATACGATAATTATGGTGTTCATCTAAACTGTCAAACCCTACAAATCACATACAACTCACTTTGTGTTGCATTGCATATATTAATTTATTACGAATATAGAGTGGGTTTCAAATACAATCATATTAATGTAACAAAAACCATATATTAGAAAACAGTTGAGATATATATGGAAGATGATCAGGGTTTTTATTCATTGTGAACGAGAACCTATAGATTGATTTACTATGTGTATGTGTGTAAAATCATAACTTACCACTTTCAGTTCTTATCGAAATGAATCGAGAACCCATCAATAATCTATCCATTGATTTGGTGTGTGTTTGTGATTTGTGTAAAACCATAACCTACAACCATTGTTCATCGAGAACTATCGAGAATCCAACAAAGAAAGAAAAGAAAAACTAAAGTATATAGGTAGGGTTGAAACTGTAGTATATTCATGAGAAATATTATGGTGAAAGGGAAATTGACAGAGACAATCAATCAGCAATCAGGGTTTCACTTTTTAGTCATTTTCACTTTTTAGCCAAATTTTCTTGACACATAAATGTAAGGATTCTCTTTTTTTCCGATCAATATGCAGTCTTTTCTACATAAGAATTGGCTAAAACTGAAAGTGGGTTTCAAAATGGCTAAAAATAGAACCACCTATAAACTTTGACTATTTATGTAAATTAACCTAGAAATTAATATAATTTTTTTATTAACTTGGACATCTAACCCGCTATGCGAGCCGACTAATCCTAGGGCGACCATCTGCTTTGCAGATAGCTCGGAGTCACCGCATTTGAACCTTCGTGATCACAAGAAGATTTTTATTTCTTTTTGGATTAGAATCTGAGACCTCCTGATATTTTTAACCTTTGGAGCCAAATTCAAACCAATTAGGTACTACCTTTGTGGTTGAAATTAATATTTATGATAAATATAATACTGATATGAATACTAGAGAATTGTTCTTTACACATGAATATGAAATATTGAATATCAATGATGAATAATATGTAGAGCAAATTATGATTTTCATCCCTATAGTTTATTAATAATTTCAATTCTTGTCCCTATAATTATGAAATTACAATTTTTTGTCCTTATAGTTTACAATTTATTTACTATCTCTTCACATGTATTATCACATATGTTAAGAGTGTTTTCACGTTTTCGTAAAATAAAGTTGTTCTCGTTTAAACTTCATATATATATATATATATATATATGTGTGTGTGTGTGTGTGTGTGTATGTGTGTGTGTGTATGATTGAGTTACAGTGAGAAAATAAGTTATGGTGAGAACCGTAAGAAGAGATTTCCACACTTGGATCAATCTTAATTGAATGTCAACACTAATGAGATACATGAAGATTCATCAGATTAATTTTCTTCTAAAACACAATTCATATATAAACATAAAATTAAAAATAATCAAGGAATCAGATGTCTTCTTAACACCTCTCTATCTTATTTTCATATATATATATATATATATATATATATATATATATATTATATGGTTGGGAGGCAAGAAAACATGCAACACATTATCCATAAGGTCATGGGACATATAATAATGATGGGTTGACCGTTTGACCACATTAAATTCTTCCAATGGGCCCACTTACTGAATTATATTTGACTTATGTGGCTCCCTATTATTCAAATTCCCAAATATATATATAACCCTTTCTCTACTTTTTACACCAAAATGATCCATTTTGTCAACAATATTTGGTCAAAATTCTAGTTATTTTCACTTTATAGATTTTTAGACGTTTTTTTAGGAGGACAAATGCTACGATACCGCTAAGTCAAATGTCATTTTGTTAGATTTTTAGACGTTAATAGTCATATTATTCGAGTTCTGTTGCCTTTTTTTAGTCAGATGTTTGGACCAATTTACGTGCACATGGACTAATTCGAGGGGTCCTCAAGAACAACTGGAAAAATCCCAAACCTTACAGGACTCCATAAAATATTTTGTTGTCAATGTAAACCTCAGATGAACAAACGGGGTCAAGCACCCCTGTTGGTTTTTGGTTTCACGCAACCTTCTCTTACATCCACAGTGATTTAATTAGCCGACCATTACAACAACTGAGAGTAAATGACATAATAAATGAATGGTGTTCTTAA